TTTTAATAGTCTTCACTGAAATTATATTCAAAAAGGACACCGCCATCTGGTGGCCAAATATTTTACTCCATTTTACACATTTATTAAATGAAATCATGTTTCAAGTCACAGAAAAGCTGACAGAACATTACACACTTTACTACAGGAACACTGAGTTTTGCAAAATGACAATAAGGTGCAAAAGTTGTCAAACTATTAGGAGTTAAAGAGTTCTCGTTCCCTGACAGATTGCAGATCCTCCACAATTTTTCATGCCACATTTTGAGACTAGGATTTTCTTTTCTTGATAAATGACAGATTTAGGCTGTTTGGGTCAAAACTTGTAAATTAACTCTGTGATTGCTGGCAGACGAGTAAAACATTTTTATTTTTTCTGTTTTGGGTTAGGCTATCCTTGGATTTTCGTTGCTCAAAACTTTATTTTTTATCCTGTTGTTCATCCAGTTAATCTTTGCATCATTTAACAAGACCAGACCGTTCTGTCTGACTTCACTCTTCTGTGAAGCCACAATCAACTCGACAATCGTGTGAAACTGTTTTAACTCACAGGCTGAAAGCTTCCCACTGTGTGTGTGTGTGTGTGTGTGTGTTTCTTTTTACTTTCACTGCAACAAATCTTTTCAACAACTTCAGACCTAACTGTAGATATATATTATTTATTCTATATTTTGTAGATTTTTACATTTTTTTCTCTTATAAACCTGTGAGCAGCACGGTGGCGCAACTGGTAGAGCTGCTGCCTCTCAGCGAGCAGGTCCCTGGTTCAAATCCCGGTCCAGGGGCCTTTCTGGGTGGAGTTTGCATGTTCTCTCCGTGCATGCGTGGGTTTTCTCCGGGTACTCCAGTTTCCTCCCACAGACCAAAAACATGCATGTTAGGCTGATTGGTAACTCTGAATTGTCCCTAGGTGTGAGTGAGAGAGTGAATGGTTGTTTGTCTCGTTTGTCTCTATGTGTTCCTGTGATGGACTGGAGACCTGGCCAAGGTGTCCCCCGCCCCTCGCACAGTGACTGCTGGACATGGGCACCGGCGACCCCCGTGACCCAAAATGGAATAAACGGGTAAAGATAATGGATGGATGGATGGATGGATGGATGGATGGATGGATAAACCTGTGATTTTTTTCCTCTGGGGCACAAAAAATTAATATTTTCCAAAACTTAGTTGCAAAGTGGAATATCTGGCTTCATTTGTTATTACAGCCTCGACTGATTGATAACATTGATTTTGATTCATTATTATTTTTGGCGCAATGACGGTTTGTTCAAAAATATTTTACTCTAAGACCCAAAACGGCTCTTCTCAAAAAGAGTCTATTAAAAAAATCATGTATTAATACTTTTTTTTTTGCTTTGTTGCATCAAATCTTTCCAACAACTTCAGACCTAACTGTAAATATAATGTTTAGATTTGTTTTTATTCTTTTTTTTTTTCCTTTATACCATTTTTCTCCCAGAAACCCATAATTTT